ATCTATTATTTAGCCTACTGTAATGGTCTTTACTGGTTTTCTAACATTCTATTTTATGACTTTTTTAGGATTTACTAACAATTGCTCTTGTCTTGTACTTTTGGCTTTTCCCCCAATATTATGCTGTTATAAGGAATTCTGAAAATAATTTCCATATCCACAAATCTTTGTGTGCATACTTGATTATATCTTCTGTATAAATTTTGCATATAAAATTATGCAAATATTTGACTAGTTATCATAAAATGTATCATTATTCAAATATATGTGTGTATGTGTATATTATATGTACATATATATGGATACAGGCATTTATATATGTGTTTGGACACATACAGATATATGCCTACTACATGTATATATATGTATGTGATCATATATAGGTGTATTTGTGTATATGTTTTCATTCTCCAAATTGCTTTCCAGAAATTAGTAGAGAGTACTTACTTCCCTATGCCCTCACCAACATTATTTTTTTTAGTTTTTAGCAGTAAAACAGGTAAAATTGATACTTGAATTACGTTTTGTTTTGTTTAGACAGAATTTTACTCTGTCACCCAGGCTGGAGTGCAATGGTGTGAGTTCAGCTCACTGCAGCCTCCATCTCCCAGGTTCAAACAACTGTCCTGTCCCAGCCTCCCAACTAGTTGGGATTACAGGCACCCACCACCATGCCTGGCTAATTTTTTGTATTTTTTAGTAGAGACAGGGTTTCACCATGTTGCCCAGGCTGGTCTTGAACTCGTGACCTCAGGTGCGCCACCCACCTCTGCCTCCCAGAGTGCTGGGATTAGAGGTGTGAGCCACTGCGCCTGACCTGATTGATGTTCTAATTACATTTTATGATAACTAGTCAAAGTTAACACTTTTCATGTCTGACATTATAGGGATTTCAAATCCCTATGCATTAACATTTCTTTTAAACTTTTTGTTGGTATAGAACTGATAAAACTTAATAAATATAGGTACTAAAGCTTGCTTGAGAACTCCTTGACTAAATAACTTCATGTCCTCTCTGACATATTGTATTTTCTGATGTGTGGAATAATTGGAATCGATCTTAGCAATGGAAGGAAATTCTTATTGTTAGAGAACCATGTGATTTCTACCTCTGTATATGCTCCCTGTATGGTACTTTGATGGAAACTCATACTTCTCATTTTAATGGCATAATTTTCCATAACTTTAGATGTATGACCTGGAAAAAATATTCAAGAAAAGAAGAACGGGTAAATTAACCTTAATCTTAAATTACAGAAAGGTCTTAGTGTCAGCTACTAAAGGGCTAAATATAACCATGCTGACCCACTTAAACCAAATTGACACTTCTTATAATTGCACTATAATTCATGTTCAAGAGCAGTATAAAAAATGATGTACCTTAGACCCAAGCTTTTGGATCAAGAAGCACCTTGTCCTTGAAGTTAATTCCAGATTGAGCGTCTAATGCAATGATTAGTAACTGGGGTTCACTGTTACCATCAAAAAGGATTTAGCTTTTCATACACAACTACTTGTATATTTAAACATAAACACAATTCATGACATATCATAGTTTTTTTTTTTTTTTAGATTTTGAAATTTGAAACAATAGACCTGCCTAATAGGTACAGCTTATATAGATAATGGAATGGACTCATGGACCCATGAAACTGAAATTGAAATGGACAGAAAAAGCTTTTTAAAACGCATACAGTCTTTAAAATATTAGGCACGTAGCCCTAACTTTGTTATTACACATCTTTCTAACCTGGACCAAATCCATCCTCACTATCTTCCTTCCCCTGCCCACCCCTTCACCCCCCAGTCCTTTCTCTATCTTTTCTTTCCTTTCTTCCTTGGCTTAATATTCATCCCAATGATGATAGTGATGGTTTAAAGAAGAGGGAATAAAGCCCCTGCCCTCAAGTAGCTCTTACTCTAATAGGGACTGCTAATGTGCATAGACCTATTTGGATTTTGATACAGTGCAAGAACCCTTTCATGGAGGAGCGCTCATGAGCAGAGCCCAGTAGAGGGATATCTAATTCATTGGGAAGCAGCGGCTCCCCTGAAGATCTGCCTAAAGTGACAACAAGGTTGGTCTTAAAACAAGATAGGAGTTAGGTTTTCTGTTTGTCAGGTGATGCACTGATCTCCAAGTGTTGCTCTCGACTTCATAATTGGATTGCTGTCTGGGCTGGAGGCCAGTGCTCCACGTGGTTTACTGATGGATCTTCCAGACAGCTGTTTTAGAATGGAGAGATACACTTATCTCTGGATGTTGCCCAGTAGTATCCTTCTTTTGCATGACCCCTTCCTCCCTGTAAGGATGCCATGCGTTTTCTGACAGTGCATCCATCTCTTCTCCTACAGGAACTCTATTGGGGGACTAAGCCATGGGACTTCTCCCAGGAACTTCTCCTGCTTGAAAGTCAGAAGATAGAGTGCTGGAGTGTGCTTTCAAGACCTGATTCTGCACCTTCCCCAGGCCTATGGGCATGTGTATTCTACTCTACTTATCAGGCATACATATCAATAAGTCACTCACCATGCCCTGGCTTCTCTTAGATTTTGTTAAGTTTTATGCTAATCCTTTTGTGTTTCTGATTTTCCTGGGATCCAGAGAATGCCTGAGAAAGACCTTGCATTCTCTTCCCATTCTGGCCAGTCTTCAGCCTGTCTTTTACTTGCTTTAGACTGTATCCTTTATACCACCTTTGGGGATTGCATAGTTCTTTGCTAAACCTGTCAGGAAATAGAATTCTTATTTTGTTTCCTTTGGTTTTTTTCCTTTTCCTTTTCTCGCTTCCAGGTTAATGTTTTCTTTATTTTACTCATTCACTTTAAAAATCTGAATGTCTCTTACCCTGTGGTCTTATTTAAAAAACATTTTTTTTTGGTATTTTCCAGGATACTACAACCCTGACTCTTATCTAAGTTTTCAGCATTTAGACCTATCTCTACAAGTTCATTTTCATCTATCTTTTTATCTTCCTCTATATTTTAGCAATGTGAGTGCTAATTTGTTTAACACTAGAAACGCTTTCTGTCAGCCTGTTCCTCATTGATGTAACTTTCTTCCCATTTCTTTCTTTCTTTGAGACAGAGTTTCACTCATTGTTGCCAAGGCTGGAGTGCAGTGGTCCGATCTGTGCTCATTGCAACTGCCACCTTACAGGTTTAAGCTATCCTCCTTTCTCAGCCTCCCGAGTAGCTGGGACTACAGGCACGGGCCGCCATGCCCAGCTAATTTTTGTATTTTTTTTTGTTTTGGAGAGATGGGGTTTCACCATGTTGGCCAGTATGGTCTTGATCTCTTGACCTCATGATCTACCTATCTCGGCCTCCCAAAGTGCTGGGATTACAGCCATGAGCCACCGCGCCCGGCCCTTTCTTCCCATTTCTATCCCAGTACTAAATTTTATTTCTTGGGATGTACAAATGGATCAAAAGGATTGCTCATTTAGGACAGCTGGTTTGCAGTTCACAGTTCTAGCCTCGAACTCTCAAGACTGCATTTAGAAAGTGATCAAAGTGGACTTGAAGGTGTGGACAGCTTTGGGGAATTTGTCACTTCTAAGTGCTCTGAAAATGGGAATGGGAAGAGGTCAAAGTTAGTTTAGGGCAAAATCCTTAGACCAGGCCAGGGTCAGGTGGAGTACTTATGAAATCTCAGCATCAACCCCACTCTCCTTAGTGTCTTATTGGGGATGGCCTCATGGCTCGAGTGTCCTGCACAGGGAGCTGACAGCTTTGCTGACTTCACATCCACACTAGAAAACTGAGCCTTTTCATAGAATCTAAGTTCAAGACAAGACTCCAGGCATATTATCTTTTAATATTGTTCTATGTGGACCGGATAAAACCCCTTCCTAAAGGGCCTGTGTCAGTAAGTGGGCAGTAGACAGAATTCAAGTCAGGAAAAAGGACCTGGCATTTTGTTTGTATGTGCAAGGGGAGGTAATAGTGAAGGATTTGAACCTTTCTTAAATACTTATTTATTCCTAAGCATGCATTTTATCAGGATAACAAGCTTATTTTTCAGTTTCATTTACCTTATAAAACCGATGGCTGACAATATCATCCTGATTAAATGAATGAAAATTTTGAATCACAAAGCTTGTCTATTGTTGTATAGGCTTAGTTGTTACACAATAGAAAATCTTGCTAAATATCTGTATATTGACCTAGACCAGCTATAGTCTTCAGAATTTATGGTCTGGGCATGGTGGCTCACGCCTGTAATCCCAGCACTTTGGGAAGCTGAGGCAGGCAGATCATGAGGTCAAGAGATGAAGACCATCTGACTAACATGATGAAACCCCGTTTATACGAAAAATACAAAAATAGCTGGGTGTGTTGGCATGCACCTGTAGTCGCAGGTACTTGGGAGGCTGAGGCAAGAGAATTGCTTGAGCCCAGGAGGCAGAGGTTGCAGTGAGCCAAGATTGCGCCACTGGACTCCAGACTGGTGACAGAGTTAGACTGTCTCAAAAAAAAAAAAAGGGGGGATTTCCAGTAATTTCAGTTCCCTCTTTGTTCTGCAGTTGAGTTTTACTGCAGTTGCAACTGTAGTTTCTGCCCATATAATTATTTTGTAGGAAAATGTCAGTAGTTCTGACAATTTTAATTCTTGTGCTCACTGACTGTTCTACCTTCTGAATCATATGTTCCCAAATCAAGTCAAACAGGTTAGAAGACAAGTCACACTTAAGTGTCACATCTACTTTTCATGAGTGTGGGAATGTATCTGCCACTTTCACTCACTATATAATTCATTCTGGCTCCTCATGCACTTAACCTATTTTTATTTTTTCAGTTTGGATACAACCCAAATCCTCCCAAGCCTTCTAAATGCAAATATATATTAAAGTATATGTAGTTAAAAATACTTATGTCTTTACCCATTCCTCTGAGAATTTTTGTAGAGGCTTTCTCAAAATGCAAAGAGTAGAGGTAGTAATAACATCTGATCCTTGCAGATCGGGGTATTTGTTATTTAATCAAGAGCAGAAAAAAACATTTTATGTCATTGATTTATCCATTTTAGTTGCTATCATCTTTATAGGTTATGTCCCAATACATGGGCATTTCTAGAAAAACTATAGAGCATATGAGAGTTTGGGGAGGTACTGATGTCCTGAGGTCTTCAAACCACCTAGAGGTTGTGTTTTACCCACTGTATCATCTTCAAGTTATCTCTGCTCAAACAGCTCTATAGAAAATCCACTCTTGTTTCAGCTGTTTTCATCTTTGGATCCAAACCCTCTCTCACACAGTTCTTGTAGTTTCACATGGTTGTACTCAACTATTGCTTGTTCCCTAAGTTTTTTCTTCTCTGCTTTCCACACAGAGTTCTTCAACCCATAACTTACATAGCACAAGTTCATGTCCACCTTGATTACTCTTCTCTGTGCATTCTATCATATGTAATTATCCCTCTTGATCTTGGATACCTACAAGTGAGCACAAAAAGTTATTATCTGGGCCTACTTTTAGGAGGGGACATGGGACTCAAAGGGAATTCTCCTTGGGTTTGATTGTGACATTTCTTATAGCCATGTAAAGACCAGAGGAATGTTAGCACTGCCATCTTTCCAGCTATATGATATAGATAAAAATAAGTAAATACGAGAAAGTATTTAGAATTTAACAACGTCTTCATGGAATTCTTAAAAATTCAGTATTCTTTGAGAAAAATTAACATATCTACTAGTACTAATAGTTTCAGTACATCTTAAGAGAAATAAGAGATACCTGGGCTTCTGAAGTATCCATTCAAAAAGGATATTAAATGCCTATATAAACCCAGGAGTTGTCAAGTTCTGAAAATATGGAGATCAATAGAATGTGGCTTTAGCCTTGAGGAACCCAGACTAATAGGGAAGACAGCAGTAAACAGTGAATTATATGCAGTGTGATCAGCGCCCTGGTAGAGACATGTTGAAGACCCTAGAGAGTAGAAAGAAGCACATTGTGGGGTGTCCTCTGCTCCAGTCTTTTTTTTTTTTTTTTTGAGATAGAGTTTCGCTCTTGTTACCCAGGCTGGAGTGCAATGGTGCGATCTCGGCTCACCGCAACCTCCGCCTCCTGGGTTCAGGCAATTCTTCTGCCTCAGCCTCCTGAGTAGCTGGGATTACCTTCACGCGCCACCATGCCCAGCTAATTTTTTTGTGTTTTTAGTAGAGACGGGGTTTCACCATGTTGACCAGGATGGTCTCGATCTCTTGACCTCGTGATCCACCCGCCTCGGCCTCCCAAAGATGCTCCAGTCTTATATCTGTCAACATAGTGTTCTTTTAGTGTCTGTATACAGCTAACATTTATGTGCAGTGTGTGTGTAGACATTGCATGAAGGGGTTAATGTATGCTGTCTCCCCTTCATTTATGTATATCAGCTTCTTAGAGGTTGGTCCTATTATGGACCCAATATTGCAGTTGGGGAAAATGGGAAGATATTTAAAGCCATAATAAGTGTTGTATCCAGAATTCAGACCCACGATTTTTGCTCTTAATCAGTACTCTGTGTCACCTGACTAGGAGAGGGCCGACCCGAGAGGAAATCAGTTTCATGGACCTTTGAGAGGAGGCTGTGTGTTAATTAAAGGCTAGGGCAGGACGGGTACTTCTCAGACATGCTCCAAGTTGTTCTTGAGATCACAGTTCCTATCAGGTTTTCTCTGGAGGGAGTGAGTAGATAATTGGGATTTGTTTTTTGGTCTTGTCTTTCTTCTTTCTAATGTAGGCCACAATAATTAGATAAAGAAGATCCCACAGCAGGCTTTTTGTTTACCCCACCTACCTTGTCAGTGGACAGACCCTCTACCTTCTCTTTATCCTCCAATTTTTGTAAGCGAGTTTGTTCCTAGTATTTACTGGATGGACTAGGCCATTTTTAGAGGTTATTTTTGCTGAATATATATATTTTTGATATAGTATTTCTTGCCATATTACACCAGATTTAAGACAGCTAATTTAAATTATTTTTTTCTTTATGTACTTCACGCAAACATTCATAGATGGAGGAAGATATTTAAATACCATGCCTTTCTTCTAAATGAATAACAAGAACATTGATTCAGCCCCCCCTTCATTCCGTCCTTTCAAGGTCTAACGTACTTGAAGGGGCACTACTTATAGCATTTGCCACAGAAATGCCAGGTAGTGTCTTTCCACGTCGTGACTGACCATTACCTAGATCTTTAGTTGCTGGCCGTGAAGCCAAACAGGTGTGCACCATGGTCACTGATGGAACAGATGTAAACTCATAAATTTAGTTTACTGAGGTTTTCAGTGACTGTGGCTTCCCGACCGCGTGCTTTTCCTACACAACCAGCGGCGTCCGGGCAGAGGAGTCACGGTGGACTTCCCCGGCTCCCGCGGTGAATCACAGGTTGGCCTCAGGTGCGCTTTGCACACACCCGGAGCCGCGTCGGGTTTCTTTATTTATTTCGGGGACGGATCCATTCCAGGCTTCGGGACGGGGAGCAACAGTGGAGGCTGCGGGGCTGTCCCGGTGCCTGCTGGGGTCGCACCGAGGCTGCCTGCTCTTTTTCCCGTGAGCCCCTGCTCCCCAGAGGCGGCTGGGGCTGGTGAGGGGAGCCGGGACGCTGGGGGTTAGGGGAGGGCGGGTGGGAAGCTGGGGGCGCGGCCACCAGGCTGGCCGGGGACAGGGCCCTGCCGCCGCCTCCTTCCAGCCGGACCCTGTAAGGGTCCACAAAGGTGTCAGGGTCAAGTCCTCCAATAGGCCCATTTTTAAAAAGTGCTTTCAAGTTTCCGTTTTCTTCTGGAGGGGAGGGCAAGAGCAGCTTTTTCTACTCAAATTCTTTTCCTTGTATGTAGATACCAAAAGGAAACTCGGCACTGGGCATGTTCGGATGTGAATGGTTTTGCTGATAAGCAACAGCCTCCGGAACCAAAGCCTCAAAATAGTCGTCTCCCCCGCCCCCCGCAGAAGCGGCGAATGGTATCTGCCAAACAGATGACAAAGTACCTCGGACTGAATCCCACAGACAGCGTTTTGAGCAGAACACACGGCTCAACTCTTGTAATTACTGTTTATAGCTGGCCGAGGCTGACTAGGAGAGGGCAGACCCGAGAGGAAATCAGTTTCCCGGACCTTTGAGAGGAGGCTGTGTGTTAATTAAAGGCTAGGACGGGACGGGTACTTCTCAGACATGCTCCAAGTTGTTCTTGAGATCACAGTTCCCATCAGGTTTTCTCTGGAGGGAGTGAGTAGATAATTGGGATTTTTTTTGTCTTGTCTTCTTTTTTCCCTTTTTCTTTTCCCTCTCCCTATTTTGGTCGTATGGCCTTGAACCCACAGTGAATTGAAGAAAGCAAGAAATGGATATGTCTGACCCTAATTTTTGGACTGTGCTCTCAAACTTTACTTTGCCTCATTTGAGGAGTGGGAACAGGCTTCGGCGAACACAAAGGTAAAAACGCGGGGATCTCTGCCTGGAGAGGGACTGCTTTCACTCCCTAGGGGCCCACAGGCCGAGCTGCCTGAGCCCCTCAGGAGCCGGGGTTTTGTGTATTGGGTGACACTTGGAAAAGTTTATGCCCTGCTAGGAGACGGGCAATGCTTCAGGTATTTCATCGTCCTTGTGGTTTCCTGGGTAACCCTGATAAATGTGCTGCTCACAGTTTTTCTCCTTTTGAAATGTGGATAATAAGACATTTCCTTGTGAGAGGTGGGGAGAGAAAAAAGGAAGGAGGAGGAGGAGGTACTTTGTGTAAGTCTGTCCCTTTGATTTGATCGTGTTTATCCATTTCATTCGCCCAGATATTGAGACTTCTGGTACTTCTTGTTGAGCCCTTCAGATGTTCCTCTCTATTAAATACTTGATCTTTCTAAGATGCAGATGTACGATGCAAGGATAGCCCAGGTTAGCTATTTCATACTCTCTGTGGAGAGACAGAGCTACATAACTTTGTCATTTTGATTTTTCAGTGGTTTGCTGGCATTTATTACGGACTGGCCTTTTCATTTTGTAACATATATTTGACGGAAAAGATAGGGAAAGAAAAAGAATGTTAAAGTCAAGATGAGGCTCATGCCACAAGTGACAGGCAGTTCCGAGAGTCTGCTGACACTTGTATTGAGAGACTATGATTTTAAAGGAGGCATTTCTCACCACATCAGTGTCCAGCACAGAAAAGTAGGATTGTTGTGGTTTAGAGGGGGCACACCCTCTGAGTTGTGTTAATACTGATTCTTCGTTTTCCTTTAAAACTTGCCTTGCATGTACATGTGAACATGCATGAGAGCAACTGTGCAGTCAGATAAACAGGATGCAGCCTATCAGATTTGGAGCTTCACAATCTCTGTGCTTCAGTGTTCAAAGAACCCAAGAAAACGGCTCGTTCTTTTTTGGTTATACCTATAAGTTTTTGTAGTATAAATGTGGATATATGATGCTTTGGAAAACTTACTTTTTCCCTTCGAAATTTATCATGGTGTTTCTTACATTTCAGAAACATCCTGGAATACACATATACACTGTTTATGTACATGGTTGCATACACAAATCACATGTGCACCTGTGTGTATGAGAGAGACATCTGGCAGGTTTCAAAGTCGTGTTTGCTTTTTGATGCAGTTCAAAGTGTTGATACCACTAAACTATGTTGGATTCTGTAGTTGTGCCTTTTAAATAATGTCACTATTTAAATAATGTTTTTCTCATTCTGCCATATATGGTCAGAGACCCTCTCTTGTCGTATTGCTCATTTTTGTTCAAGTTGTGTCAGCCATGCACCAAATCTCCAAGACAACTAATAAAGTTGAACAGAGGTACATGCTATATATGAACTAGGCCACTGCTCCTCATAGTGATAATTTGCATAATTTCTTGCTATTTCAGCTTGACAGAATCCCTTAAATATTTCTGAGTACTGTATCCTGGCGCAGTACAGCCTCTACTCTTACCTGGAATGAGTTCTTAGAGAAGTCTGTTCTGGCATCACATGTGTGTATCTTAACCTGTAGAGCAGTTGGAGCCTTTCTTCTTCCTATCTACCTGTTGACAGTAATACAGAGAGAGTCAGATGCATGAGGATTCTCAGGCTGCTCTGAGCCTGGCTTTAGGGAAGTACCTATCCAGCCTGAACACTCCAATTCAGACATCTCACACTGACAGAGAGCGTAGGTTCTAAGGTAACCTGAATTCTTCACAGTAAAATGGGAGAGCAATGGGTGAGCTGTTTCCACCCCAAGTCATGAACCCGTATCTTCAGTTTGGCAAAATATAAAGGAAAGTGAATTTTCTTCTCTCTCTTTTAAGAGTAGAGGTTATGACAGCCTATTTGTTACTGGAGATTTTTAGGTTTTGCAGTTTGGAAATAAACACCCCAAAGATCATCTCTATATCCATTGAGTCATTGTCTGTCTCAAAGGGCTAGCATTGCTTTGTATTTATTACGTAGATTCAGAAGGGCAGGTGTTCTCATCTCCAGGGCAGTATATGTGGCTATTGCACACAGTGATCAATTCTGGCTCCATGTCCTCCCCTAAGGACGTAAAACATGTGCTTACATTGTGACTACCCCTTTTGGGATGGATTTCCCTTAACTGTTCTAAATCCTGTTTCCTTTTCCTAGTCTAACCCCATTTCTTACCTGGCTGAGTAGTTTGTCTCCTTTCCAAAGGACCTTTTTCTTCCCACATTGTCCTGTTTTGCCACCCTCAATGAGGGCATCCCTGGTGTCCAGGTGAGGACACTTTGTTCTCACCATCAATCAGATATGCCTTAACCCTTGGGATGTCTCCCATGCCCAAATTTAGTTCCTTTTCTGCACACTTGCTGACTTCAGTGACAGACTGTTCATTTTGAATATTTTCTCCCAGCTATTTGTTCTGATTAACATTGTAATCCGGAGGACTTTATCTTAGCTTTTACTTTAATATCAGCTTCTTGCTTCTATCAAAGAGTGAAATTCAGCTTTGAGCCTGTGAATGAGCATCTTAGAACCCATAAGGATAGAATATTTGTAGCACTTCAATAAGAGCTTGAATGGTTTCAGACTTACCTTAAACCTTTATTATGGTAGAACTTGTCATCATGGAAACCTTTATTATGGAAGAACTTGTCATCATGGAAACCTTTATTATGGTAGAACTTGTCGTCATGGAAACCTTTTGGTTTGCTACATTACATTTGCCATATAGTTCAATGTGATGCTGGTTTGTTAGTTTGTCCTCTCAAAGAAAAATAATTTAAGGTTTTTCTTACAACTCACAGCCCTACTTGTGCGTGTAACTCTTGGGGTTCCTAGGGAAAGAAGCCTACAGACGTACTCTCAGGCCTAGATTCTCGAAGATGGCAGAGTACTGATGAACTGAAAGACTGTCCCTTGTGCTATGTCCCGAGCATGGTATATTATGCCCTTCATTCTTTTTTGTCTTGACCATGGCAGACATGAGATTGTTGGGACACACACTGGCTTTTGTCTACTGTTTTGCTGCAAAGCTTACATGTTCTATTGGAAATAGTTCCTTTTATATATGACTGGTTTTATCACTTCTCTCTCTTTCCCTCATTTCCTCAAGGTAGTCTCAATACAGTCATTCACCTGCTGCTTTGAGGGACAGAAACCTAGGCTTAAATGAACAGACTTGTTACACCAAAATTTCTTGTTTTAGACTGAAGTAATGGTTGCAAGTTTTCAAGATTTTCAGTTTCCTAGGTCTGTGGCTATGTCATTCATTGAGGATCCTCTTACAACTCAGAATGGAAATTAGCTGGCCAGCATTCATATCACTGCTTATGTTTATAGCAGCTTTTCTTTGCCCATTGGATTAAAAACTTTTGGCGGAAACAAATCAAGCTTCTCTTTTAATTATATTTGCTCTCTGTCACACCTTAAGGAAAGAACTACAATTGATTTCTAAATGTTGCTGCTAGGTTTTGAGTTGGGCCTTAGTTTTGCTGAAGTACAGTCTTGAGAATCCAGAAGATGCTTCTGTTTTAACGTCAGTGTTCAGAAATCTGTTGTTTTCATTTTGCTTAAGAGATAATCTCTCAACCTTGATGATGCCTAAATCAATAAAACCATTATCCATGCTGATGGGTAGTTTGTGACTCAGTTTATCACTTTGAGCAAGTTTCCAAATGTGTTTTTCTAAGAACCAAAAAATAAGTTTTGGGGGTTTTTATTTTGGTAGTTGTTTTTTGCAGAATTTGCATTACTCAGCAATTGCTATGAGCAGCAGGTACCTTCAGGGATCTTAAACTAAATCCTGTAGTTGTCAGGATGTACTGAATTTTTTATGTATTCGGCATCTTCCCTTCAGAAACATCTCTAGTGTTTGATGAGTTTTTCCTTTGTTTTGCTTATGAATGTATGTCATGACTATAAGAGGTATAGAGAATCTTCTTCCTTCTTGCCTTGGCATTCCAGGTGTTAGTAAACTTGTACTCACCGCTTTTACCCAAATCCCAATTAACTCCACATTTATTAAGTACCTATTATGTACTGTGACCTAATGCTGAAAGCCGTAGGTATGCTTTCAATGAAGACAAGTAAATGAATAATTGCAAACCAGGGCAATCAAGAAGTATTCACAAGGTACATACAAGCCATGGGAGCGGTCAGTGGGTAAGAGAGAGTTTGGTCTCAGGGAGCCAGAAGAGGCTCCCCATAGAAAAGGTTTTGAAAGATATTTTGGTGTTTATGAAAGTGAAGAACAGGGTCTTTCCAAGGGACAGGAGAAATGGTGTGTACAAAGGCCTGGTGGCCTTGGCAATAGAGTCCCAGGAACTATACATAGCTTAGTATTGCAGAAGCAGAGAGTTGGAAGGGGCAGTACTACACAATGGTTAAGAGAGTCGTTCTGAAGCCCGTTCACCTGGGTTAACATCTTAGCCCTATCATATTAGTTATGTTAACTTCTTTGGACTTTAGTTGCTCCATCTATATAATAGGGATAGGTATTTATCTTATAGGATTGTTTATAGGATTTGTAAGATTAAAATGTATTCATACATGTAAAATGCTTAATGCAATGACTAGCATATAAAAACTCAATAAGTCTTAGCTGTTAATATTATTACTGTCATTATAACATGAAGATGAGTGAAGCTGGGGTGGTGGAGTGCTGAGACACTTGACATTTGAAGGAGTTTGGTTTTGATACTGTGCTGGGGAGACATATCTAGCCACATTGGGGTTTAGGTCTGGGAGTGGGGATGAGACCTGGAAGCCAATTAATAAGTTCTTAGGGTAGTCTATTTAAAAGATTTTGCAGGACTAAAGAATGAAGTGAGACTGTGCCTTTGAGAGAGATTAAGGATATGTATGACATTAATAGAAGGCAATGGGCCTTTGGCTCTGAGGGAAGAAGGATTCCATGATGGCCCTGGGATTTTTGATTCCAGGAACAAGGGAGAGGGAGGAACCACCTGTACTTAATGAGAGTGAGGCGGGGGAAGAACATATATTGCGCTTGCACCTTTTATCCCCTAAAGCTCAGTTAAATCCACATTTGTTGAGGAACTATTATGTACTGAATACTGTGGGATACTTATTCCTTCATTCAGCCAATATCCTGACCCTGTTTCCCATGCTGGGATCCCCACTGTGTCAAGGGACACAGTGATGTTCAAGATACAGCACTTGGGCCTCACCAATAAACAGGTGTCTAACTCAGTCAGTTGCCAAATTGTGGTCAGTGTTCCAATGGCTATAAGCAAGAGCTGAGATGAGAACATAACCATGTGGGGTGGTCATGGGAGTTACTTCCGGTAATGTGGTCAGAGAAGGTCTTTTGAGATGCTAATATTTAAGGGAGCCCCAAAGGATGAGAAAGAACAATTGTGGGAAGAGTTTGGGGAGAGGCATCTGGGAACATCAATGGCACTGAGACCAGAAAGAAAGAGCCCTCTTGGCAGGCCACTCAGTACATAAATCCAGGACACTCAGACAGGCTGTACCAAAATAATAAACGTGGAACTCACTATTAAGACCGTCTGAGAAATACATCAGATTAATACATGGGAGAATTAAAGATACCCCACTTAAGGAGTAGGCAGAAATGCAGCAAGGTATGAGGTACAGGAAAGAGACTTAGTGGGGAAAAGTCCCCTAAGAAGGGAGGGGGCCAGGAGGGTGCTCTCCAGGAAATCCCAGGAGGAAAATAGTCAACATGCCCCAGCACTCCACAGAGAGTTGAAGTGAAGGTGTGTGTTATATCGGGCAACTGAGAACTCATGGATGACTTCGCAGGAACAGGTGCCTCAGGGTGGGGGCGTTACAACCTAGAAAAGAGTGAAGCAAGGACTTGGAGAACATGGGTGGTGACCACTCTCTGTGGGCAGCTAAATATGGCAGCAACACAGCTATAATGGCCTATCCTCTGCACATTCATGGCTGGCCCGTCAGCCCTCTTTTCTGAATCATATCCCCTTACTCATTGTTGCTCACTTTGTTGTCTGCTTCATTTCCCAAATTGGCAATGACAGTTTCTTTTTCACCTCCCTCTGGAAGCTCAAATTTCTTCCGTAGCCTTATGACTGTTCCTTTCTGACATGTTTGTGATGGCTGGAGTTTCTCTTGCTGTAAAGCCCTGACTGGGTGTCTCTGGTTCACACACACCACCTGTTGCTCTCCTGATCCCCTGGTAGTCTAGTCACAGGAGACTGAAGCCTGGCCCCACTTGTTGCTCCTCTCCTCCTCTCCACACCTGACCTGCAGGCTCTGCCCCTCCCTGAGTCCCCACGCCCATTTCCTCCCACTCCTTGCTTTGCCCAGGCCTGTTTCATAGCTGCTTCCTTTCATCCTTGTACTTTGTTTGTGCTCCTGACTGTGTCTTCTGCAGGCAGGACAGGCTTACAAATTGTGCAGGGCTCACCCTGTTAGTCCTTCTCTCATTTCTGCTTAGCTCTCATGTTGCTAATATTCCATGACACTGTCCAGCAACCTGGGCTGCCCTTGCTCCTGACCACCCCTCCCAAGCCTGGTCGGGGATACCCCTAGAGCAGAGGAGAAAACTGAGTTCCAAGCCCAGAGCTGCCAGCAGCTGAATGGCTTCTGTTGAGAGCCTGGCTGTCCCAACCATGGCAGCATTCTTCAGATTCTGGGCATCTAAGTCTTACCAGATACAAAGGATGGGAGCAGAAATATGCACAGATCAAAAATGTTGCTTTTAGCTTCTAGTGTGAAACTTACAGTAGGAGATCACAGACTGTTTTGCCCCTGGAATATGTAGGGGTTTTTGTGAGACAAGAGGGAGGGAGGAAGTGAGGAAAGGAGTGAGAGAGAGAAGGGGAGAGAGAAATGTGTGAGTGCAAAAAGTAGATTTCAAAAGGAATTCATTAAAAATAAAACATGAGAATTATGGAGCATATGTTGCATGGTGAGGCATGGACTATTCATTGCTAGTGTGTGTGTCTTCACTCTCAAGTCAATGGTGGGAGTAGTATATTGATAAATGTACAGTGACGGGTAGAACATTATATTCTTTAATGGTTTTGCTTGCTTCTCTTTACGCATCTATACTATTATCAGAAGCTCAATACCTTTAAACAGGAATCATAAGCTTCAAGATAGAGACCATTTGCCTTCTGGGTTAAAGATTGACAGGTGTTGGGGTCAAGGAATCATTTGAGTTCCTGTGTGGAGATGGCCCATAGAAGAGGAAGCTTGAAGTAGGACTCAATCTGAATAATTTGGGAAAGTCCTCCTTCTGTTGGTTGAAATGAAAATAGCTGGTCTCTCACAGAGAGGGAAACTGGAGGCCCTGGACCTCAGCCTCACCCTCCATACACACCCATCTCTAGTGTGAGTAAGCATGCACAAAGCTATGTTAATCTGAGTTGTCTTCACTACCTGTAACTAGTCATTTGGGAGTGACGTCATGGTAACTGAGTAATCCTTTTGAAAGTTAAATAGTAGAGTCGAGATGTTAGAATGGTCCTGGGGCTACCTGGATGAAAGTAGACACAAAGTGTGCATAAAATCGTCTACTAAAAGTAGAGTCAATATCTGTCGGTAGGATCTTGGTTTTTTTGATATGTGGCACATTTTGTGTGCCAGATCTCTAAATAAAAGTTTATACATTTGTTAAAATTTGTAGTTCTGGTACTCTCCTAATTTCCAGGCAGATAGAAGAAAAGAAAGGAAAAAATTCCGCTAGGAACATGGTTGTAAATTCTGAAAATGTTGACCTTAAACCTTAATAGAGTAAAAGACCTGTGGGAATTTTAGCTACATTAATGTCTACTGGACATGCCTATTTGAGAAGGTAATTATACTAATCTCACAACTGACATGTCATGTTGTTTTGTTTTAAAGAAAGAAAACATAGCAGAGAATTTAGGCTTTGATCAGTACTCGAAGGTAAAATAGATTGGCAAGAAGAATAGGTAGTCATTAATGTATATCTCTTATCTAAGCACCCCATTGCTTACTTTATTATAGAATCCTGGGAATTTTTACATTCTGCTTTTTGGTCCTACATTTATCAGTGACTATGATTTTGTCAGAGTTTGGGGGCTCTTAGCAAACTGTAATTGCAGATGCTAGTACAAAGAAAATGCAGCTCCTGACATCTGGTAAGCCTACCACCATTTGTATTCTGAAGTTCTTGAATAAGCTTGTAGCTGTTCAAAGTAAGTACCGGCCCCCTGTGCTCCTGGAAAGTTTCTAACCTGACACGGAAGTTCAAGTGGCAGTATCTTTTGGAGGAAATATGTTAGATTCTGAGTGAATCACATGGGTGGAGGGAGTGAGAAACTGAAGATTGGTGAAATTTGCTGAGGTCTCCTAGGGTCATAGAATTAGAAGGGGAAGAAAGCTGATGGATTTACCAGGTCCATTTTGCCATATAAGTATTTGTTGAAGCTGTCTTTAGTATGCTTTATTCTATCTAATTTTAAATGTTACAGTATATGTTTATGTCTCAGACTTTACTGTGTTTCTTCCTTAAGCGTCATTATTAGAATATTATCTAGTGATTGACAAATTTCGCAGCTATGAAATTTGTAGAAAATCACTGAACCCATAGCTTACATAAAAAATCACTTATGCATCTTTCACATTAATGTATTCTAAAATGCAATATGATGGATATGTTTAAATTGGGAATTATAATAAATAAATGTTTTACTTTTATAGATGTATGCAGGGGTTCAGAGAAAAAAAATTATGTTTGGCATGGGAAAAACTCCCAGCTGAATAAAACACTCGAGGAAATATGGTAAATGAAGCCTTTGTTACTCTAAAACAATAGCGATTAAGTGGCTATTATGTAATGTTATTTCTTATGTCTGATTTGAGTGGATTGTTGATCTTGGAACTTGAGATATAATTCCTGTAAAAATATTACTTTCACTTGGCTAATCTCAAGACTTTTGATACCAAAATCAAAGACTTTTTCAAATAGATTACCTAGATCAGGAACTAAGCTCTGGAGGTACTGAAGCTATGTCAGATTTTTTTCCCACGTAAAGACTGATTTTATGTACTTGCTATTCCCCATCCTAGTACCCATCCAGATAAATACAAGTAATTTGCTAACCCCAAAACTGGTTGATTGTAAAATTAACCTAGGCTTGCTCAGCCACTGCAAAGGGCAGACATGCAGCAAAACGACTGATAGGCACATCAACTGCCTTGGCAAGTTGAATGGATGATTCTAAGTTTGCATTTCCATAGTAGGTCCCCAAACAGAAGGATTTCTCATCTTTGATCTCAAATGGCCTTAGTGACCAGTGGAGCTAAACAGATGTGGGATAGTTTAGGTGGTTTAGGTAGTAGTTTTTGTTACAGATTCTGTAAAATAAGACTCTAAGCTTATGAATCCTAATTTCCTATATGTTTTAGGATTTGATGTCTGGGGTTACATATTTGAACCATAGAATAAAAGTTGCTATATTTTTACTGTGTGACCTCTAAAATTTATATGTAGCATTCTTTCTCAGTAGATGCCTTCTCTCCTGTGTAGTTCAGGCCAGTTAGCCTCTGAAATCAAGGATTTTTTAAGCTGAAAACTCAATAGTGGTTTTCTTAACATTGGAATCCAGGCTTAAGATCAGAGACCTGCTCTCTTCAGTCCAGTTGTTGGATCTTAGTGCTTTTAATGCTATTTTACCAACATAGCCATGGGCAAAATGCCATTTTAGCAGATAGACTTCATTTTTCTGTAACATTGTGATTGATTATGTATTACTTGATGGCTTCCTATAAAGGAAGCTCTTTAATCAAGAGCAATTGTGGTTTTTCTTACCTTTTGAGATTTAACCTTACAATTAGTCTACCGTCTCACATCAGACCTAGGGTGTTTTGGGGGTCTAAAGGTACAGATATTGAACTGGTTAGATATTAATATGATACACCTTTTTGATACCATTTCTAGGATATAGAAACATTCCATGGAATGGGTCCTAGGTTGAAAATCCATGAGGGAAAAGGGTTCTGACTCTTGGCACTGATAAACACATTCAGAAATGTTGTATTCAAGCCAGAATAAATATATATACCCTTTATACTTTTTTTCAGTTAGCAGAAGTTACATCTAAACACTTATTTTGGCATTAAGGAAGCTCGTCATGACCTATTGTTCCAGAAAGATTATAGTCTTCGTTTTAAGCCAGTTCTTTAGTTCCCATGCAAGTGGCATGCCCAGCCTGGAGCTGAAGAAACAACCCCTGCTTTTCAGACCTTCTATTCTTATAGGTGTGTCCAGCAGGCAGTGGCTTGTAGCTGTTCCTTCAGCCACTTAACAGGTTTGATTTCAAAGCTTTTTAATAGAGAAACTAACATGTTTGGAGGGGATTCATGGCCCAACATTTATGGATTTTGTTGGGAAGTCTCAGGTGTGTATTTATCTTAAAGTATTCGTTAAGGCCTATTAGACTAAAGTCATTGTGTTTGTGCTTTGCTCTGTTTTGTTTTTGCCTTCTAGTCCTAGAATGAATTTGTTAAGATTATCTCAGGGATTGGATTGGGAGGGAGTAGTTCCAAGTCCTGAAGGCTATGTACCTCCTATTTCAATTCCTTTTCTTTGGCTATCTGGAAGCATTGAAGAGGAGTCAAGTGATTATAAATTTGGCCAAAAGACAGAGAAACGGAGAGCTGAAACATGGGAAGTTAATTACATTTACAGATACTTGGAGGGGTTATTTGTGAGTCATGCATCTCTCTGTGACCCTTTTACTGCTTTGGGAGCTTGTGGATGAGCCTGAATCACTCTCTGAAACCTGATAACCTGATAACCTAGTTTGGCTAAGTTTGGCTTCTGTGAATAGGGTGTGAGGATTTATCACATCACCTCATTTTTTCATTTGTATGCCAAATGTTTATTGAGTACCTTTTATGTGAGCAGGGGCCATGATTATCACCTGGGAAACAAAGATGTACAGCATGATCCTTTCCTTCAAGTAGCTAAATGTACTGTTCTTTAGACAGTAACACAGACAAGAATTAGAGTAACAGGTAATAACTGGTAGATCTACCAACATCAGCCGAGGATGAGGGGGGAAGAATATCTTTGCAGACAGTTTGATATATATTGTCTCATTTAATCCTCACAACAACTCCATGAAGGATATGTTATTATATTTATTATACAGATGAAAAATTTGAGGATTAGAGGAATTATTTATGCCCCCACTTCTCACCAGTAGTAAGTGGTGAATCTGGATAAAAACTTTACTGAATTTTATGGCCAAAAGAAATATAGCTCCAACAGCATCCTAATTGTTGAAAATAATATTTGTAAAGCAAGATTTTAGTACCTTTTTAATTTTATAGGACAGTAGCTTCTTGGCAGTTCAAAAGGTATTTGTGGAATATAGAGCTCTGGTAATTTTGATCTTTGGTATAGAAAATTCTGCCTGCTGTCTTGAGGGAAGAAAGTGAAAAATAGAACTAGGTTTTACTTTGTTTTAAGATTGCCACCTGCTGATTCTCTTTCCTATTAATGGAAATTGTAAATGTATTCTGCTGTAATTTCCTAATCTTAAAGTATCACAGTTTACGATGGTGTTTAAATGGGTTTGCGCTTTTAAATTGAAGCTTTACTTACAGTGTAGCTCTGCACAGCTGCTGTCTTCCAGGCCTTTGAATGAGTAACACCACATGCACTCAGGCTTCTTTTTTCTGAGCTTTCCCTTTGTGTCTTATAAAATCCTGCACATTCACATAAATGTATACATTACACACACATTTTGAAATCCATGCCAATCTTGTAATAATGCATATAGTTCGAAATCCATGCCGATCTTGTAATAATGCATATAGTTCATCTCTTAGAAAGGATAGAATTTCTTTCTGCTTCTATGGTAATACAGTGGGTATGCCAGAAAATATCTGTTGGGAGATTTTAGAGATGAATTACTTATAGGCTTCTTTCCTTTTAAAAAATATAATAATTCTTCTTGAAGATGCTGTTGCTAACTGTTTTTAAGGAGATGACTCAATGGCACTCAAATATATCTTTTCCTTTGAGAAAATTACTGTGTTTAGAGAACAGAAAATTAACTGCTTTGTAATGCATAAAAGAATTGCATAGGAGTAGACTATAAATAATCTTCAACACACAAAGGACACAAATATTATGTCCAGAGTTCTCTAAACCACACACACAAAATCTTTACTGGCAGTCTCTTAGCTTTTGGTGATACAATATGTGAGCTGTTTTTGAGGAATAGCTGCCTCTACCTAAGGACGGAATGAAAGAAGTTTTCCCTTTAGGGACTTTTTCAAAGGTTAAAAAAAGTGTATTTTATAACCACTAGTCTAGGCCCAAGACTGACTCAGATTTGTACTGACACAGGGTTAATCACTTCTATTTAGTTCAGGCAACTAGGTGTTAGTTTTGTTTTGTTGAGACAGGTTTATTGAGATACAGTTTACACACAGTAAAATCATCCCTTTTCAGTTCTGTAGTTCAATAAGTTTTAATAAATAAAGTTATGTAGCTAACATACAAATAAAGATATAGAGTATTTCTTTTTTTCTCTTTTTTAAATTTCTATTTTTTTGAGATGGATTCTTGCCCTGTCACCCAGTCTGGAGTACAGTGGTGTGATCTCAGCTTACTGCAACCACCACCTCCTGGGTTCAAGCGATTCTCCTGCTTCAGCCTCCCAAGTAGCTGGGATTACCAGCTGGAGTGTACCACTACACCCAGCTAATTTTTGTATTTTTAGTAGAGGCGGGGTTTCATCATGTTGGCCAGGCTGATCTGGAACTCCTGACCTTGTGATCTACCTGCCTCGACCTCCCAAAGTGCTGGGATTACAGGCATGATCCACTGCGTCTGGCCAGGTATTTCTATTATCTCAAAAAACTTTACATAGATTTAGTAGTTTAATAATTCTAATATAGCATTAGAATAAGATGTTTTCTTTGCTCTCTTTTTCTATTTTATAATTAAGCTTTACATTTTGTTAATATTTCACAATTTTTTCCTAATATCCTTTTTCTATTCCATCCAGGATACTATGGTACACTATGTCACCCTCTTTAAAAATCAGTTTTATGAGGAAGTGATTAATACATAGTTTGATTACATGGTTGATAATGTCAAGTGAAGTACCAGAAAAATGCATCAGAATGAGATATTTGAAAGATAAGGAAACTAAATTGTGTGGACCACTCTTAATATATAATAGGCCATTTGGCTAGGCGCACACAGTTGCTCATGCCTGTAATCCCAGCATTTTAATAGGCAAGAGGGTCACTTGAACCCTGGAGTTCAAAACCAGCCTGGGCAATATAGGGAGAGCCTTGTGTCCATAAAAAATTTTTTAAATGTGTGCCTGTGGTCCCAGCTACTCCGGAGGCAGGAGGATTGCTTGAGCCTGGGAGGTAGCAGCTGCAGTGAGCAATGATTGTGCCACTGTGTTCCAGACTGGGCAACAGAGCGAGACCTTTTCTCAAAAAAAAAAAAAAGTCCCTCTGATACTACATAAATGAAAAACTTATAAGAAACCAGATCGACAGATTTGACTAGCAGGAAATTGTTAAAAATAATTTGGGGGTGTTTACAGGGGAAGGAACAGGGCTGTGACAGTGGAGGACTTGGAAGACATGTAATTTAAGATCTAGACTATGATTGTTGGAAAATAAACATGGAGATCCAGAAGGAGTCTTAGAATTTTTCTATGCAAGTGAAGATGGAACAAAATATGTATTTGACAAAAGATAAATTATTGGTACCTTATTTGCTTTATAAAATAACTTATGAAGTCCTTCTAGTATTTTTATTAAATTTTAATTTTCATAAAACTTATATAACCTTTAAATCTTAAGTTAATACATGCTGAAGACAAAGAATGGGGAAAATGTCTTTTTTAAAAATCACCCATATTTTAGTACTCAGACATAACCACTATTAAACACTTGGTGGAGTAATATTTTCCTGTCTGCATTTGCACACACATGTGCATGCACATCACAAAGTATTATATTTTACCTCCTGGTTTATGATTTGCTTTTTTCCCTTAATGAGATTCCTTTAAATGCCCAACTTTGCAATGGTAAGATTTCTAGAAATTAAAAAAAATACCTATAATACAGAAGAAGACTGGGGCGGGTGGATGGTAAGTCCTGGGGCACATTGGAAAGGCCTCCTCTGAAGGATGCTGTGTTGATGTGCAACCGCAGCCATTGTGGGTGTGTCCACAGCTGGCTTCCTGGTATGTAGTGGAGATGAGCCCATTGACACTAGTGAAAGCATCCTGAGTGGGCTTACGTTTTAGGTCCTGTTTTTCTCCAACTGTATTCGGATCTCTCTTGAAATGCTCCCTTTAAAAACACTAATGCTAGCTCAGAAAGACTCCGATTACCATCTCCGCACAGGTTAAACCTCGAGATCTAAACTTTATCCCTTATGTAGTGAGCAGGCTTGCCAGGTGGCAGGTCAATTAATATATTTTTGCAAGCTGTAGACATGTTTTTCTCCATGGTAGACCAATGAATCCATCTGCACCTCATCTTCCTTCCCCACTAACCTTTGGGGAAAAATCATTATTTAATTTTCAGACATAAGTTGTGCAACTTTGTAAGTGATACTTTCTGCTTTTCTGGGGAAGTAATTTTAATAATTGAAACTTTTTTAACTATAAAGATGTGAAGAACCCTGTCATGGACTAAAATATATGGACATCTATGTTCTATCCAGGGAATTACTTTTTTTGAAAGTTTGGTGTATGGAGTCATATGTTGAAAATCTGATTCATGGAGGTATAATCTGGAATAGACTTTCAGAAACATCAAGTTGAACCCGCCATTGAAAGATGAGGTAATTAATGTTTAGATTAAAATTTCAAGCTGGTAAACAACAGAGATGGTCTGGGAACCTTGTCTTCAGATTCCAAAGTAGGACAGCCATAGTGAAAATAGAATCTTTAATCTCTCAAGGGGAAAAAGTGGAGTGAAAACCTAGTTAAGAATCAACTAGGAGAAGTGTGCTCATATTTATTGCCTATTCTCCCTTGAGTTTCAGGCACTGAACTGTACATGTCACCTCTACAGTGTCTTTTTGCCCTCGAGTGGCAATTCAGATCAGCAGGTGATTAACTGTTTAGTGTCTATGCCTTGCCTCCCAGTTCTGTTGAAAGTTTCTGAAGGACCGATTGCCACATCCTCTTTTAAAGCACTTATGGATAGTGCACTACCTGGTCATGTAATGAGTGAATTACTGAATATATAAATATAAATAAGGTTGCTTTACAAAATTCTCTCAGAGAATGTTGGAATTCTAGGAGCATGACGACATTATAGCCTTTCCACGATCTGCCACATTATCATACAGAATTTGGCTTCTCTCCCCTTTGGTATGAAGGAATTTAGCACTGACTATTGTAGA